TCAAAGATGATGTCTGCAGTAGACTTCAGACATCTTCAGACTGCGGCTTGGGTCCTCAACAAAGCTGTTAGAGGTTAAAGTCCCGTTCTGGTGTCCTTTGCTGCATTTATTCCCCCTTTCCTGTCTACCTGCGTTCAAAAGTAAAGGCCACTAGAGCATAGATCTGTTAAACCTAGCCTAGATTTTTTAGAGCCTGAAAATAATCTAAAAAGTAAGTACGGTAGATAAAAACACTTTAAATGGAGAAAATAAGAACTGCAATTAGTCTGCATATAGACATGATGTGGATTGGCTGGTCCAGTGATGAGGTCACAACAACAAGGAGCTTGACCCCCCTTTCCCTCCTCCATCCTGTTAAAGACTTTGTAAAAAAAAAAAAAAGTATCCCCACTAGTTACCTGTAACCACCTTTTCTTGAGACCCGAGCCTGTTTTCACACAGATATGGTTCGGTAGAAGATCCCGACAGAGACTTTACTTCCTACGACAACTCAAAAAAGTACCTTGCACAGGTGCTGCTCTTTATTCAGTCTTTAGCCATCGATGTTGAGCCTACTTGTCTAATTCTGGCTCAACATGCCTTGATTAGACAACCAGTAGACATATGGAACAGGACGTATCTTGTATGTTTGAAGCATTATTTGTTGGTAAAAACTAGCTAAACTTTATTGTGCTTTGTAGAGGTAGCCAAATCATGTTCTTGGGATGCTTTTCTTCAGCTAGGACAGGGAATCTATCTCTCTATGATGGGACAAGTGTAGTCAGAAATCCGGTAAAGGCTTTTAACAGATTTAAGAAGGAGGGAAACATGGGCAGAGCAGTGATTGAAGGCTTCATGCATCTTCTTCAAAGAAAGGGTCTTGAGTCAGAAGTTTACTTAGGCCCCGTCCACATGAGTGTCAAAACGAACACGAAACGCTAATATTTTCCAGAACGTTTGTCGTAAAGACGGAGACATAAAATAAATGTGATCGTCCACACGAATACATGAAAACGCTTCAAAATGTATGCCAGGCCTGTAAGTGGCGCTGTCGTGCCAAAGCAAAAATAGGCGACGAAATGTTGGGCATGTGCACTAATATTTATACATGTTTGCCCTGCAGGTCCATTTTCGTGGTTCAGTCAAATTCAGGTGATGAACTATGTCGTCTATATTACTCTGTTCTTCCTGGAGATATTCCAGAAGAAGAAGATTCTGTTGTAAGCCCGACAGCAGGGTGAGTAGCATGAGCAGCAACCATTCAACACAGTACGGCGCCATTGTTGTTGTGATACTGTGTCACGCATGCGTGTTTAGAAGCGACGCTATGACGCATGCGTGTAAGAAAAAAAATGCGGTTAGAGCTTAAAGATGGAAACGCGAAAACGGCGTTTCAGAATCTTCCCACTCTGAAGGCTGAATAAAAAAAAGATTGTTTACAGACCCCCGAAACGCCGGCTTCGTGTGGATGAGAGGCTGGTTTGGTGAAAAATTTGTGCGTTTAGGCCAGGGTTCCGCTTCGTGTGGACGGGGCCTAAGATCAGTGGCAAGACAGGCAGGTACAGCAGATTCCTCCTTACATCAACATTTAGAACAACTTGTTGAAGAAATCCGTATGAACATGTATTTTCCTTTTGCAATAATAAAGTAATTTTGGCCTGAAATGGATTTAATACATCAAAGCATGTTCATATGTTAGAATGACCCAGTCAAAGTCCATTAAAGGGCTTTACTTCCTTCATGGTCCTTCTAAAGGTAGTGATGATCTTGCAGGCAGTCTGTCCCCAAAGACACAGGTCATGGTAAATGGACGTCTTCTTTACTAAGAATCCTGTGTGTCTTGTAAAGTGCAGAGGGTAACTGGTCTGCTAGACAGCCTTCAGCTCAGCAGTTCTTTCCCATGATTGTGTTAGCCATACAACAACATTTCTGTTGTTTAAAATTTTATATTACATTGGTACATTGGTCTCATGAAATATTCCTTTTGGGGGGAATGGTTTTATTGGCTGTAATCAAACTCATCAAAATCAAAACAAAAACCCACTCACTGCAAACATTGATCTAGAAATAAGTCAATATTTCTTGAAATGGATAAAATGTAGAATGTAGTTTTGCCACTTAACATTTCATTTATATGTACTGCACTTGAAATAAGAGAATGCAGATTTTTTTTAAATCTTATTTTAGGTTAAAAAAAATCTCATTCCAGTTTCAGATCATTCCATTTCCCTACTCATATCAAGTGCAAATCCACCAATTCAATATTTTTTACATACTTTTTTGTCAACCTTTTGCAGCGTGTTATTACATTGTGTATGATTTTTTATTTTAATTTAACTTAATCCTGCTTTGGTTCTTTAAATGCTAAAACCTTATATATTTATGCAATTTCTGGAGTAAATTGGATTTTTTCCCCATTTTTTTTCTCCAATCTATGCTTAATTTAACCAGGCGGGCACTACAGCCTTCATTTAAAACAAGCACCTTGGATCCCATGTCAAGTAAAGACAGGGACAGTTGCCTTCTTGCTCCCACAGTGGAACCCTCAAATGATTGTATCCGTCTTCATGAGCTCTAACTGCCCCTCTGAGACGCTCATTATGACGCAGCACGTTCTTCAAAGCTAGTTGCTATAGGATCCATTTCGACCAGGTCCACATGAAGCACAGCGAAGTTCTTCCAAAGGGCTGATACTGGATCCTGGATGACCCCGAGTAATTCCAGTCCAATTGGTCACCGTGGCATTAATGATTAACAGTACTCTGGTGATGATGGGGACTGCCTGGGCTGACCTTTTCACGCTGCTACATTTACGGCCGGAGTAAGTACCGGGCTTTACCATCATGATAGCCCAGACAGCTGCACTTTTATCCGCTGGCCTAAGCAGCTGAGGTGGAGGCCCTGGTTCAGAGCGTGCAGGGTGGAGGAGGGGTTGCTTTGGACAAGTTGAATGGAAAGAAGGGCCAAGGAGAGAAGGAAAGCAAGGGCAGTCTTGGGAATTATTTCAGCTGGGCATTAAACAGATTTGTCCCTTAAGGTATTAACTTGACCACATGTCTGAAATTAAATGGACTGAACTGAAATGATTGTCTCTGAGCCCCGGGTTGAACACTAACTGCCACATTTCAATAATAATTAAATTAAATCCTTTTCCAGTCGTTTTAGAAGAGCTTGTACAACATCGTCTTCTGTTTGAGATGCTATCATCTGACTTCAATTTTGCCCAAAGTGCTAGTCTAAACTTCCTGTTTGTTCTGAATGCTTGGTCCTAAATACACTAGTAGAGTGTTTATATTATTGGAAATAAGGAAATTAAAGACCTACATTATCTAATTACAGCTAGGATTTGGCCTGCATCTATATTTTTTCCAATATTATTTGAGATAATAGTTTCTTTGGAAATTTAAACAAGACACTTCATTGCAATGGATATTTTTTGTGTCATTCGTCTCCATTTTAAACTTTTCAACAAAAATTGTTATAGATATAAATGTTCTGATACAGGCTGACCAGTGGAGCAGTTTGTAGCACTGTAGCAGTGCAAAAGCAGGAAGAAGGTCTTGGTTTCTACTACAAAAAGTTGGTCTCTTTGCAGGGAGTTTAGATGTTGTATTTGTGCATCTCTGAGGTCTCCTTGGGTTCTCCATCAACTGATCTCTCTAAAGTGAGCATGTATCACACTTTTCGGGGATGAATGGATTTTATACTCTTGCTTTCAAGAGGGGCCCAGGTTCGAGTCCTGGGCTCAGCAGAGGGCCTTTCTGTGCGAAGTTTGCATGTTGTCCCTGTGTCTGCTTAGACTACCTTAATGCGCTCTGATTTCCCTTGCCACTAAAGACATGCTGGTAAGATCGGCCATAAGTGGCGGGGCGCTCAATAGCAGAAGCTTAGACAAACCTTCCATTCTGATCTACACAATTTGATCTTATGTACCCAGTATCTTAACTTATTTTACCTTATCCCACATATTGTGCATTTAAAATATTTGGTTAGACTGGTAAAAACATTTTCTCCATTTTAGACACATTTTGCTCATGGTTTATAAACAGTTAAGTCATTTGTGCCCTGAGATGCCATTGCATTGTGAATTGGACCTATATGAATAAATTGAATTGAATTTGTCTTTGAGGCCATAAGAGTTAGCTTTAGCAATTGATGCAACCACCACTGTCATTAAGAGTACATGTATTCTTCCACTAGAAAATGTGTCTTTTTAATTAGCCAGTTTAGCGAGTTTTCCTGTCAGTATAAGTTCAAAATGAACAGGAACATACAAATCAGAACTTTAATTAACCTTCTACTTAAGGGTAATGTCTCTAGCTACAGTATTACAGACGTTGGATAAGTTATAACCCTGTAAGGAAAAGGAAAATGGGGTTATGAAAATGTTAGCATACATTACATGGCATATATCGAGAGGGTAAAACACCCCCATGGTGTCACATAAATGTAGCACAAAAATTAAAGTGGATCTGCAGTGTCGTATATTCTGAAATAAAATGTTTCAGAGGCATAGAGAGAAGACAGGAGCATTTGCACAGAGGGCAATGGATGGTCCAAAAGAGCGAGTGAGAGTTTGCAGACGGCAGAGCTAAAGCTTTCCTAGAAACCATATGGGTCTCTGTTGTTAGCGAGCTTGGATACAGTAGCCATCACACTGGAGGTTTAGGACTGTGAGAGGAAAAAAAAGAGGACGTGGGGAAAGATGAGACATCTGGGGATAGGAAATCCTCACCGATTCATGAGAGCATCACAATGATCAAATGAAAGAAGAAAAAAAAAACAGAAGTCAGCACCAAGAAAGCTCTGATACAAAGAAGGTTTAGAGTGAACTAACTCCTGGTGAGTGTAAGAGAGGGAGAAGAACAACTGAGTGACCTTAAATGGCTACATGGTCCTGCTGGTGACTGAGTGGGGACAGCTAAGGGGGCCTCAAGGGTTATCTCTTTGAGGTGCTGCTGTATTTATAGAACTAGAAACAAACAAAAAAAATAGAAACCCTGCCCCCACGCTGCACCCCCATCCACCCCACCCCATTTCCAATTAGTCTGTGATGGGACGGCTAATGTAATCAGGAGTAACTACAGCGCGCCCACAGCCTCCTCTCTCAGTCTGCCCCAGACTCAACACAGCTGCACACTCCTCACACAGGAAGGTAAGAGCCAATCTCTGTTCATCCACCCATTCACCTGTCCATCCTTCTCTCTTCTTCACTGGTCTTTACTCACCATTCCTTCTACTCTGGGACACTGCTGCTCATTGCATCCTTTTGAGTTCCTCCCTTTCCACCAATTCATGTTCTCCTGTTTTCCAGCTGCACAAGGCCCCTCATTGTTTACCCTTCCTCATCCTTGGCTACATTTCCTTTTCCATTTCTGTGCAAAATAAACCCTCTGAGAATCCATTTATCTGAGTTCACAGAGCTAATTAAGGCTTCCCTGCTGTTTTCTCATTATCCTTAGTCTCACTACAAGACTAACTTTTCTTGCAAATTACAAAGGGGTGACTTCATTTTGAAACTAAGATGCTGTTTATGATACCCTGACATTACATTTGGTTTAGGAATTAGATATGACTTCTCCTAAACATTAAAAATGATATGCTGCAGCTGAATATGTGCAACATATCGTGTTATTTTACACATTTTAGATGCGTGAGAATTTAAGTTTTCAAGTTAATATTATTTACACAATAGAAAATTCAATAGAATCTTTTGCAAATTAAAGCCAAATTTGGCCTCAAATTTAACCCCATTATGCCTGAAAAAGTTCAACCTGGGCAACAGGATGAACTCTGAAGAACCTCTTGGATGTTTTACCTCTCATCCAAGAGGGTTCTTCAGTTCATGCTAGTGGTGAGGAGCACTGAGATTAATATACTGTAGGTGCAACAAAGAATTAGGGGGAAAAAATATATTCTCCTCAGTCTTTGTTACACCTACAGTATATTAATCTCAGTGCCTCCCTCCACTATTAGAAATTAAGAAGCCTCTTGGATGAGAGGTGAAATGTCTATACAAAACTTCACATTCAGTTGCCTAGACTGAACTTTTTCAAGCTTGACTATGACCTGAATGACAGAATCTTCAAAGATATATTAACTCAATTATCCAATTTAAAACCTTTAATTTATGTATTGATGTCAAACTGGGTTCAATTTAGAAGGAATGTACTCGTGATTTCTTGCTTTGGAAAAGCAGCAGATCTTAGAAAAATACTTGCATCCGTTATATAAAAGTGATTGCATTATGTAAATGTAGAAATACTAATTTAACAACAAGTGTAAATATCAAAAAAATGTCTCACAGAGTGGGAAAAAAATGCAAATTATTATTGTTTTTGACATACTTCTGACAATGCATCAGCTGTATTTTGAATTTGAAGAACTTTTTTTAATGCATAGCTGTAGAAAGCAGCTTTAACACTTCAACAGCAGACATGCCTTCTAATCGAAGTGGAGTTACTTGTATCTCAGTTTGTTTCCCACATGGATGGTCATCAAAGCAGACCTCAGAATCTGACAAAACAGCTGCACAGCACATCCAAATAGCTGCAAGTCTTATTTGTGGCCATTCAGATTATCTTTCTGTATTTTTAGGAGCCAGATAAATCCTTATATAAGCTAGGTGAGTCATGGTGGGAGCAGCAGACAATACGGGAATGTGGGAGGGGTCAACTGCACTCATAACGGAGAGGCACAGATGGATTAAAAGTCTCAGTTTTGTCCAGACAAAAGATGAAAACCTCTTCAATTTTAAGAGCTTTCACCAATCAGTCACAGGCCTCATCTTAAAACAAGCCTGGAGTGTGAGGTATAGGAAAAACAGACTGGAATTTTCTTTTTTTTTGGTAGTGGGCTACAAAAGTAGACCCCATTCAGCTGCTCGCTTTTATTAGTCATTACTACGAGTGCTGCTCACAATCACTGGAGAAAACAGGGGTCTGGCACTGACAGTTGGAGGTGAGGCCCTGATGGGTCAGTACACACTTGCATAGTGGCCTCTGGTATGCAGTGAGGGCAAGTGTAAACTGTCTCTAAGCAGGGCTGATAGTAGTTATTAATATCCTCCTCTCTGGTCACTCTTTGATTTTGATGTGGAGAACATTGCAGCTGGCTGGATAGATTAAAGCAGAAAAGGTGTCTAAATAAAAGAAAAAAAAACCTTTACTTCTTTGTTTTCTCAGGTGAGCATCTCTTGGTCAAAATGACCGAGCGCTACGACTGCCACTACTGCAAGGAGTCCCTGTTTGGGAAGAAGTATGTCCTTCGAGAGGAGAATCCCTACTGTGTGAAATGTTATGAGAGCCTGTACTCCAACACCTGTGAGGAGTGCAAAAAGCCTATTGGCTGTAACACCAGGGTAAGAGATAAAAAAAAAAAAAACACCCCATGAAGATACAAAGTGTTTGACTGTGTCAGCCTGATCCAACTGTCTGATGTTCCTGCAGGATCTGTCCTACAAGGACCGTCACTGGCATGAGGACTGCTTCAAGTGCTTCCAGTGCAAGCGCTCCCTGGTGGACAAACCCTTCTCCACCAAGGATGAGCAGCTTCTTTGCACCGAGTGCTACTCCAATGAGTATTCCTCCAAGTGCCATGATTGCAAGAAAACCATCATGCCAGGTAAGAAGTGTACAAAGATTTTAGATTTTCATGCAACAACGGTTGTCTTTAAAAAGCGTTTTGAGGATAGAGGTGCTGGATTCTAGAATAACTGGAGCCCTAGCTGATTCCTTCCTTGCAATAAACAGCAAGTTTGATTATTGCTTGGACTTTTCACAACATGTGGGGCTCCTGTTCATCATTAGAACGACACCCATAAAAGCAACTCATGGGGACCGTTTTTCAGGACTAACCCCCCTGTTTTATTGAAAAAACTGCCTCTGGCTCTGAAAATCCCATTCATGAAAATAAGTTTCCACGAATGCAAACACTGCTGGCATCAGGTGAATTAACACTGCGACTGCTATTAAACCAAGGTCCTTATTTACAACAACACTAAAAAAAAATGCTCATCACATTTCCTAAGTACTTGTCGGCTGGTTTGTTATGTGGAAAATACAAATATAGAAGAAAATAACAAAAGCTTTTCTATCTTCCTGCTGTGTGTAGCTCTGTTGCTATTAGATGACATGAAGATGTGTGAATATTTTCAGTGTCATGTTACTTTTGTGGTTGGTGCTCAGTTAATATCTTAGGTTTACATACCTTGCTGGAAACATTTTTCTTTTCTCACTGATAACATTGTTTAAAAAGAAAAAAACAATTAAACAAACAAAAAAACATGCTTTTCAAAATTTCTGATGAAAACTAATCCAAACAGAATATTTTGTGAGAAGGGCAGCTTCCAAGAAGCACCAGCTGTAAGATGAATACATTTCTTTTGCATTTGTCACAAGAATGTACAGCTATTCTATAAGACAATCTTACATAACATTAAAAATATTCCTCAGAAAAACCAGAGGCTACAAAATAATAGAGAATTGAAAAAAATAGGATAAGCAAAGAAATAGGAAGGGGCATAAGTCTATAGGATAAACTCCAACCATGGTTACATGGTTTATTTACATGACATTAAACGTCATAAGCTGAGGTTTGTTAATTTGCCTACTTGCAGTGAATTGTGTGGACTTGGATTCCCATAATTATATCACCAGTGTCTCTTTTGTCCTTTTTAACTTCCTGTACTCTTCCATTTTATCCTCCTGAAGGCTCCAGGAAGATGGAGCACAAGGGCAACAGCTGGCATGAGACCTGCTTTACCTGCAAGAGATGCCAGCAGCCGATAGGCACCAAGAGCTTCATCCCGAAAGAAAGCCAGAACTTCTGTGTGCCCTGCTATGAGAAGCAGTTTGCCATGCAGTGTGTGCACTGCAAGAAGGTATGACTTCAGGCTCTACAAGCTAATTCTATTTATTAATAAGGGAGGATTAATAAAACAATGCTTCTTTTTAAAAGCCAATCACCACTGGTGGGGTGACCTACCGTGACCAACCTTGGCACAAGGACTGCTTCCTGTGCACCAGCTGCAAGCAGCAGCTTTCTGGCCAGAGGTTCACCTCGAGAGATGACTTTGCTTACTGTCTGAACTGCTTCTGCAACCTTTATGCCAAGAAGTGTGCCTCCTGCACCACCCCGATTAGTGGTAACCAACAAGCTTAAACTCTGAACTGAAGCTAAAGCTGGTTTCTCAGGTGTGCTGATGTAGACTTGGATGTTTTTTCCTCAGGTCTGGGTGGCAGCAAATACATCTCTTTCGAGGAGCGCCAGTGGCACAACGACTGCTTCAACTGCAAGAAGTGCTCTGTGTCCCTGGTGGGCCGTGGTTTCCTGACCGAACGGGATGATATTCTCTGCCCAGAATGTGGCAAGGATATCTAACCCCACCTGAGAGAAAACAATGCAGCTAAAAGCTATTGAATGGCAAAGTCTCACTACATATTAGAATAGAATGCAAGTAGAACTAGGATTGTATGTTTTCAGCTCTGAATTGCAAAGTAATGGTTTTCCTTAATTTTGCGAAGTGTATTCAAAGTGACATATAAGCTCCGTCAGAAAGTAAAATTATGTACTAATAAAGTAACTTTAAGGCATGAATCAAAAATGCATGTCAGCTATTTTGTGAGCAGCCAGACCTAACGTGCGTAAATCAAAGTTTTGTCATTAACAATTTGGAAAAATAAGAAAACGCTGTCTCATAATGCAGCTTCCGTACTCCACTTCTCCTCTTTTGGTTTCTCAGCAGAATTTAAGACAAGTGAATGTTCAATTACAAAACAACAATAAATCAAAGAAATAAAATAGAAAAGGAAATGTGCAGTTCTTTTTAAGAGGGATCTCCCCTTGATCTTAATATGTCTACCCTTCAACAACAAATGTTAATGTATCAAGATTTTATGTGGAAACTGCTATAAAAGAATACCCCAACCTCTTAACAGAGCCATGTTTAATCCACTTTAAAATGGAAAGATTGGCACACCTGAAAACCTGCAAAAATATAGCTACCCACCAGCTTATATGAAGTCATATTTGAAAGAAAGTTCACACTGCCCAGCATCCCCTTGCTACAGCAGCAAGATCTATGACAGAGGGGTTTAAATGGGAACATGTCCATGTGTTAAAATGAGCCAGAGACCAAATCAGAAAACAACTTAGTGAATATAAGTTTATCGATAGGCTCCATACGAATCGACAAAACACACTGCAAAAGACAAGAAATCAAAGACTTTCTACAGCAATTTGGTAAGCTCATTTTTAAATGAGCCTTCTACTGTATTTAATCTGGGCTTAGATGACAGAGGCAGACATTAGTCTGTATTGTACTACAACCCTGTTGACAAAATCGAACTTGTCTACATTTAATTAACTGTTTGCTCAAAACCAAAAAGCACTAATAATTAGGGCTGGGTATTTTCACCCTGAATTCGATTTTGATTAGTACAGTTCTAAATCATTTAATTTCGATTCGATCAGTTTTTACAACAATGAAAGTGGTTCAACTGTGTTTCAAAATACTCATTTATTTTTTCCTGTCATATTAAAAACAAAAAGCAAACTTGTAAATCAGACAGTTTAAACTTGAGATGTGAACAAAACTGTCTCAAAACGTGCAAACTTGTTTGTGAAAAGTGAAGCCTCACTTGAGCAAGCAGACGTGACACAGCGGGGACACAGCAGACATGCATGAACTGCATTATCTTCACTGTACAAACTATATTTGCAGCGTTGTCTGTAACAATTACAGGGTGTTTGCTGGTCAGCCCCCATTTGTTAATGTCTTCTGTCAACCTATTGGGTTATATTTGCAGCTGTCTGGCTTGAAGTAATCCTGAGTGCATCTTTCCTGCTCATTTGAATGTGAACGTCACGCGCGTCACTATAAAACGAATCAATTTCTTTCCTATACATCGATTTTGCAAAAATGTAAAGGAATCGATTTTTTTAACCAGCCCTACTAATAATATGCTTTTGGTTGTGAGATGGACAGAAAAAAAAACAAACAATAAATTGTTTAATAGTGCCTGAATGGTTTTAATAAATTAAATAATCATTGAACAACTTTCTTAGGGCAAATTAGAGTGAATATGCCAACAGCATTCATATTAATTAGCACCAGTAATATTATAGCTTTAATAATGTGTAACCAGAATCTCACTTTTATTTGATCTCCAAAGGCGCATCAAGGCATATGAAATTAAACCCACAAACTATCCTCAACAAGTAAAGCAACAAAGTAGTTTCTGTTGGTTGGATTTTATTTTTTTTTTAAAAACAACTGTTTTTACAAATATTAAAGACACTTTTTGTCAACATCAAAGAAATCGGCTTCAAAGTGAAAATATTCCTGACCAATAAATACAACATGAAAAGAGATCTATCCCAGGTTAGGTTCATGTTCAATATACAAAATTAGTCATATTTTTCACACATTTTTCATCAAAATGTATTAAACACAATCTACCTAAAATCAGCTTAACTTACAATAAAGAAATCAATGAAGAATTTTAGAAGTAATCCTAACTGAATTGTTCTCAGTGGAATTAGAGCAATAACTGACAGGTATCAACTTCTGCACAACTCCTACAATGTAGAGATCAGATGAATCCTTCTCATCCGTCCCTGATGATCCCTTACATAGTGTTCAATTCCTCTGTATTTCTTTTTATGTTTAATAAACCAAGACACTTGCATGTTCATCAAACACATGAAACCATCAACAGGACGTCCTCCTGATATAAAAAACACATGATGGGAGATGCTGGCTATAAGGACCTAAAGGGCACTTGAGGTTGCAGGTTGCAAGAAGGAAGCTCCTAAATTCAACAAGCAGGGTTGATCTCCTGAGCGTCGCACTGCTTTGTTGACTGTCCACCATTTATAAGAACATTAAAGGGGTCCTGATGTACATCTGAAACAGGCTCTTTATCTTTTTTTAGTTTGAAAACAGTAATTAATGAGAGGTGGTTTGGGGTTTGAGATGGAAAATAGATGATAGGGAGATATCTATATATAAGTCTAGATTGCCATCCTAGGTCAGAGATCAGGGCCATGTTACATGTTGGATCTTTTTCTTCACTTCTGGAGATTTTAGTGTAGCCTAAAAAGAAAAAAAAAACATTCCTTGTTATTTTCCTTGTTATAAAAAAAACCCATTTGCTATCATTCTATATCATGTATTTATTGTAAGGACCCTACCGAGGATTCTGCATCCCGTTTGAGGTTTGAAGCATCAGAGCTGCGATGTGTGGATGAAGAAGACAATGGCGACGAAGTGCCTGAGAGTTTACGGATGGGGTTGGACAGATTTGCAGCTGGAGGAGGTTTTAATCTGTCTGTGACTCCGGGTGGCCCTGGTGAACAGTCTGGTTTCTTCAGTTTCAGTGGACCCGACTGAGACGACTTGCCGTCAAACACAATCAGAGGCCTTTTTCTATGCTGGTCATTGCTGGAGCTGGATAAAGGGAATTAAACAACAGATTCTTAGTATTAAAATAATGCAGCTACTTCTGAGATAAGAGTCTTTACAAAGGGATTAATAAATAACATCTGTGGATATCTGGTGTTTTCATTAGTGCACTCTTTTTTAATGCTTTTTTTTCTTATTGATGAGAGATTTTCTGAATTGTTTTACATTAACCGTGCATTATTTGTTGTCCTTTCATTGACCTCACACATACAGTTTCAATATATTTTTCTGAATGACAAATAGGGCATGATCTACCTCTGTGCTGGACATCTATCACAGTTAATCTGATCTGACAAAAGCTTGTCAGAAACTGATGTCATTCTTTTCAAATTGCCTGTTTGTGACGTGCATCTCATGACCTTTCAAAGTTTACAAATGACTACTGGAGTATAAGCAATGGATGGAGAGAATTTCCTGGTTTACTTCAGGTCTAAAACCATGTCCAGAAGAAACCCCTTTGGCATGACCTGCATGCATTCTATTGAGAATCCATACAGGAATCGTTTGTACAAGCAAAGTAATCATCATTAGTATGAATGATTTAGGAGAAAATTTCGTATTTTCCTCCTGCTTCTAATTTTCTCTCATGTACAAACAAGTTTTAGGACTCCTCCAGACTTGATGAAGGAGTGTTGCGCAATAAGTCAGCTGCTATTCAGACCTAGTTTTTCACTAAATAACTACATTTGTTGTTACTGAGAAGCAATTGTCCATTTTATTATCCTACATTATTAGATTTATATATTATGTAACTCTGCAATCATAAATTACATTCATATTTACTAATGATCAGTCAGGACATCTACAGCTGCATGTCGGTATCCAGGGGACACTGATTTAATTTGTTATTTTATCAAAAGAAAGAACAGTCAGGGATTAAGCTACTATTTAAACACCTGGAACATAAAAAACGAATGGAAGTGCAGAAAGAGGTTTAGTGACATGTTGAAACTCTTAAAGGTCAGACTTGCATTCAGTGTTATTACACTAAATGGGGATGTTTTTGTCTGAGTTTGTCGGAATTTGTCAAATATGTTCATTTTTTTATGTTAATCCTGTATGAGAGAGATGGAGAGTGTGATGAAGATGGACATGGTTAGGAGATGAGCAGTATACGTGTGTTTATGAAAAGGAGATGCGGCAGCATGTTGTCAAGTTGGTTGATGGAAACTCACATTAGGGGAGGGGTGGCCTAGTGGTTAGGGCATTACGATTGGATCCCAGAGGTTCTGAGTTCAAGCCCCAGTCCCATGGACTGCCACTCTGGGTCCCTGAGCAAGACCGTTAAACCCCACGCTACTCCCCGGGTGCCGCACAATGGCAGCCCACTGCTCCCCAAGGGGATGGGTTAAATGCAGAGCGTGAATCTCGTTGCTTTGTACTATGGCAATGTAATGGCAAAAAAGTTTAAATCTATTCTATTCTATTAAGCATTTACATGATTATGTTGCACCTCTTGTCTCCACCAGTAGTTTTCATCTGTCTTTGCATTTTTTTTATCTGTAAGAGTACAACCAAGTCATTTACAGCTATGATTTATTCCTCACTGCTTGGCCTTTATGGCTCTTTAAATTCTGCTGCTCAGCTGTCAGTCAGCAAAACCTTGATGTCCAAACAAATAAAGTTTTTTGTCTTAGTGTTCGATGCCTTTTTTTTTATGAATACACCGTCTGACAAGGATGGGAAGTCGTAGCTTCATATGGCATTAACTGGGCTGTAATTATGCAAAAATGACATTTCTCAGATCGCATGCTAACTTACGCATAGGTGGACCGCATCAGGTTTACGAGGATCATTGACTGAACTTAAGAATGTAGGTAGGAGAAAAAGTAGAGGAATTTATGACAAGAAAATGAACATGTTATTGCATGAGGCCCAGTATTAAGAGCTTATTAATGTCAAACTTTAAGGATCAATTCAAGTTCAGTTATGCAATTAACTCTCAACATTTCTACTTGTTAATGTTGCCTTGTTAATTAGTTGCTAGTAGGTACAATGTTAAAAACCTCAACTATATCATTGTATTTAACTATAATGATTACTCTGATGCTTAACGGAGAAAAGCAACCAATAGAAACTGTTAAAATCAAAAAACCTCTAAAAACAAAAAACTTCTGAGCACACATATTCCTGCAAGTAGTACAGTTTGAGAAGACCATAGAAAACAACTTAAAATCATCAGCTATCAAACCAAGTATGAAACATGCATACATACAACATCTATTATATGGTATAAGGACTTCATTGTGTGCTTAACACTGTTCAGAGCCAAAAGAACACCATTGTTAAAAAAAAAAGTAAAAAAGTATTTTTTAATATAACTAACTGCAGTGTGTTTGTCAGCCAATCGCAGACTCGATTCAGTGGCGCATCAGATGTTTGTAGTGGCGCATCAGATGAGCTTCTTAAGGCTGGTTTATACTCAGAAACCAGGTCGTCTGCGTGTGTGTCGCAGTGAACGCAAATCTTCCCCTTCCGCAGACACTCTACTGCACCTTTCTAGAATTGTAGGTGACCGCAGACTGTGCCGCAGACAGGAGGCCTCTGATTGGTCAATTCTACATCCACTCTACACAATGCGTATTTCCTGATTGGTACCTTACCATCTTGTTTCGTTTGTATGACCGTCATTGTGGAAAACGGCTGGTGAAGATGGACCAGCTAGAAGAACGAGGTGCGCAAGAACGCTGGGACCCTTTTCCCACCTAGACCCTTGCACTTTTTTGCTTCCATGTCCCTCCGTTGTCGCACAGACTTGCCCCTTGTGTTTTTCCACTTTCTTGCCCTAGACCCACAGCTGGTTCATGATTGTCCTCTTGTGTTGTGGCGTGGAATAACGTAGCGCAGACCACACTTCAAAACTGGGCATAAATCAAAAATATCTGCGACAAGCTCACTGCGACACACTGCTGCGGGAGGATAACCAGCCCTTTAGGAGTGACAGCGGTGACAGCCAAGCACACCAGAAAAGATGGTGGGCAGTCTGAACTCAGGACAGCAGGCTTCAGTTTGAGCCCAGGTTTTCCGCTGGGTCCTTGTGCTCAACGAAATGTAGGGTAAAATGGTTTTTGGTCAGTAAAACCTAGGGGGGGACCAAAACAGACGTTCGAAAAAGTGCAGGGACATGTCCCCCCGAAAAAATACGTGCCTGTGAAGTTAAGCTAGACACGTTTACCTACATGGTGTGTAAAATATTTTTTAATAATTTCGGGGCAGCAAATTCTTTATGATACCGATACATTTTTATGTTACCTAGATGGCTTTATCTGAAATGACTGTGTCTTTCTAAAACAGCAATAATATTATAATACTAAACAGAAAAGAGCTTTAGAAAAAGAGCTTTGGAAAAAGGAGCTTTAGCGTAAACACGCTAAAGGTCACCAAGCTGGTCGCAGGAAATAATATCCTAGGGTTAAAACCCATCAGCCCCAGTGTCCCACCTTTGTCCGGCGGCAGCCTGTCTTCCCCGGCTCCTCTCCATCTTCCGACCCCAGCGGCTGTTGGGCAGAGTCCGCTGTGGCAGTGGGATGACATGCCGCAGGTAGAGCTCTGTGAGCCGGTCCCTGTCTTCACAGCCTCTGGCACCGACATTTCTCTGTTTCAAAACAGAGAAAACACTCTGGTAGCTAATCTCAACTTAAAACCGACACCGACCGCACAGAGAGAACGAGCAGACACAGTGTTTAGCCGAGGTGTTAAACTATCAAAATCTTTTATCTTTTCACAGGAAAAGGTTATTTTCTGAAACTCAATTAACTCACCTCCCTCAAAATGAGCTGCAAAAAATCGTTGGAGAGAAGCTCTGGGTGCAGCAAAAGCTCAGTATCTGAGGTTGAAACTCCCTGTTTGTTTTGCCCTCTGGCAGCAGCCATTGTTTTTTCTTCTTCTTGTTGTTGGATTTATTGGCGGTTGGCAACAAACATTTAGTAGCATTACCGCCGCCTACTGGTATGGAGTGTGGTTCGTGATGGACTATCTACTTAATAGACATGTATATAATTTCTAAGGGAAAAAAAAGAAAAGAAACTACATACTTATACTTAACTTGGTATTCTACACGTCATACAAACATTCGCCGTTGTTTCTTCCTCTCCTTTTCTTCTTTTCTATTATGGCGGATCGCAAGCAACTGCATACCGCCACCTACTGTACACGAGTGTGTATCAACATTACTTTACATCAAATTCTATTTTTTTATTTTGTAATCTGTAGATGAATAAATAATGCTTTCCTTAATCTGTAAATATTCTTTATATTTCCTCAATTTCACAATATTTCATTAAGACTTGACTCTGCCTGTCCTTCCAACCATCCTTCTCAATTTCTCCGTTTAATGTTCATAAGTTTTACAGTTCATCAGTACATGATCTACATTTTCTTTTCTCCACATCCTTCACATTTCACATTATTTTCCCTCTCTTTTTAATATAAAATCTCATTTAAATAGGTAATCTGAGATTATTTGGCAGGAGCCATTGTTTCTTCTTCACTTTTTAATGCAGCTAGGTAAATTGTGCATTACCGCCTCCAACTGGTAAGGATTTAATTTTTTTATGAAAAACAAATTAATAATAATAAAAAACAAAAAGAATCAACAACTCCCAAATAGGGCAGTACTCAGAACAAGCTCCAACATTAATTGATAGCATCCTTATTCCCTAAAGCTTCTGCTAATTTTTTTTCCTAAGGTTTCAGACTAGAATGTATATTTCTTTCACCTATTTTCTTTTCTAATGCATAGCTCTTTATTCACTGGTTTAGCAAGACAAGCTGAAATGTTGGATCATTCTCTATAGAAACGATTTTTTTCCCCCATATATTTTAATCCTTATTTTACATATATGTGGAGCAGTCAAAATTTTCCCTGTTATGGTATCACAGTTGCAGATTGAGGCTCCAAACCCTACCTCACTTTAACCACTTTGACTAACATTTCGCGGCGGATTGCTCCTTTAAATGAGAGACCACCTGCTCCTCTGCCGTGAGCAGCGCCCACGATGGTTGCGCGATCGATCCACGGCAGTGAAATGTTGCGCTGTGACCGCTTATAATAACACTGACATGCGCCTCAGCTCCATTTGCCTTCAAATCTCTGCTTTTTGGAGCCATAGTCAGGTAAGCCACTCTGGGTATTATCTTAAAAGATGTTTGTTTCATTTAGGAAAGAGGGCGTTTTTATTCTCCAGGATTCCTTTTTTTATTCTTCGTATAGAAAAACAAAGTAAATCACCGCACTGTTAGCCTGAGAACACGGTGTACAGTAAAGGCTGAGTGATGAAAATATGTAGAAACTTTTAGGTGTGATATATTGAAATCTGCATGAAAACGATGCAATTCTCGGATCTAACGCAGCAGATCACACCAGAAATCCAACAATTTGAGATGTTGGTGTTAACTGTGCTTCTGTCTGTGCAGACAGGATGATCATGGGTGCCTGTGCTGTGCAGGATTGCTTATGGACAGTTGTGCACGAAAGTCAGGGCTGCTTGTTGCCATGGAACTGCTGACCTTGTTTCCATGGCAACAGCCAGCATCCCTATGCAGTGACTTGAGGGAAGGATTCCTGATCTGAAGAGAGAATTTCCTCTTTTTTTGCTGTATTTTTAATGCAGTTTTGGTTCTTTATGTGTTCAACATGCCATCATTACTCAATTTCCATCCGACTGACGCGTATTTGTCAGGTTGTGTGGAGGTTTTTAGAAGATCCAAAGATGGAAATATGGAAGCTGAGGCGGTTTCTTGTAGATTTGATACGGAGTGGTGGCAACAGAAGCATAAATCCAGAAATAACTAATGAAGGAGCCAAAACAAAGGGGACCACATATGAAGAGAATCTAGCAACCAGTAGCCGCAGAGCAATGAATGGACTAATTAAATGATAGAATAAAGCAGAATGATAAAAATGGGTCAATAAATCCTCAAGCAGCCTAAGCCTATGGCAACATCAGTATAGATATAGCTTAGGATATCTTATAGCTGGTCAAAGAATAAGCTTTATTAGATAAGAAAGGTTTAAGCCTAGCCTTAAAATTAGACAGGGTGTCTGCCTCACAGGCTAAAACTGGTGGTTGGTTCCACAGGAGAGGATCCTGATAACTAAAGATCTGCATCCCATTCTACTTTTAGAAATTCTAGGAACCACTAGTAAACCTGCAGATTGAGAGCGAAGTGCTCTGTTAGGAACATGATGAACAATCATATCCCTTATATAATATGGAGCTATGCCATTTAAGGCTTTATATGTGAGAAGGAGGATTTTAAATTCTACTCTGGATTTAACAGGAAGCCAATGAAGAGAAGCCAGGATAGGAGATATATGATCTCTCTTTTTAATTTTCATCAGAACTCTGGCTGCAGCATTTTGGATCAGCTAAAGGCTTTTAGTAATAAAGAATAGTAAAGAATTACAATAGTCCAGCCTTGAGGTAACAAATGTATGGACTAGTTTCTCAGCCTCACCCCTGGACAGGATATTTCTTTTTTTTTTTTTTTTCAATATTCCACTGATGAAAGAATTACATTCTAGAAACATCTTTGATATCGGATTTAAATGACAGGTCCTGATCAAAAATAACACCAAGATTTTTTTATTATATGGGATCAATTTAATCCCATCCAAATGAAGTGACTAATCAGCTTCTTTTTCAAAGACTCCGGTCAAAAGACTCTAATTTCTATTTTGTCTATTCAGGAACAGAAAATTAAAAGTCATCAGTATAAAAGTAGCCTGGAAATGTAGGTCTTTATACATGAGAAGAAGGATTTTAAATTATATTCATTTCAATTATATTTAATCCAATTAATGAAAGGTGAAATAGGAAAAAAAATTCTTCTCATTTTTACATTCTGACAATGTCAAAATTATCTTTTTCTGTGTTTGTTTTACACTAAATACTAATATGAGCCCAACTTTATTATTTTATTCTTTTTATTCATAGTTTATATGATCAAATAGGGTGTCAGTTTGTTTTTGCCAAAAATCTAATTTAAACATAAGCCTGCTTCATATCATGTACAACTGTTTAGTATTGACCATAAGGAAAAATATGGTTCCTTTCCCATATAAATTATAAAAAGAATAGAAGATGTAACTGCTATGACAGTTACAACATTGGGTAATGAGTGTCCCATCATGCTGTGAATCACCACATGTTTAAGACCATCATGTCTCCTAACTGGATCTCCCTTTCCACCTGTTCAAAACAATATCTGAGCCCTGAATATCAGACTGTTGACACTGAGTTTAACAATTTAACACTAGGTCCTTATGAGCTCTGAAGATGCCTATAACTTATTCAAGCTGCATTGCCATTAAAAAAAAAGGGAAACAGCAGGGAGTGTGGATTAAGCTGACAGCTGAAAAAAACCATGGATGTGCTGTAAATCTGTGTATCCCAACTCGCGTGAAACCCTGCAGCTTGATGGTTAATCATCAACTTATCTTGCCAAAGCTCAGTGACATAAAATACGTATTGAGCTGTCAATGCTTTTTCCAGTATATATAAATCGAACATTTCAGTTGAAATGAAATTCAGATGTTGACAACAGAAGTAAGCAATGTAAACAAAGACAGTTAACTGAACTGGACCCTCAAATGAACCTCTTCTTATACCCCCATTTTCAGATTCCCCCCAGTTTTGGGGGGGATGGTTTCTATGCCCACTGATCTACAGTTCTTTAGACAGATTTTTAATTGGCTACAAGTTAGCTGATTGGCTATGAAACTTCTGTCTTGATTGGAAATCCACACTTGTTTCATCTCTTAAACTCTTATCAAAAATATCTAGGGTATACCGGTATGTTTAATCCATAGAAATAAAATGGTCCAAACCACAAAGTAAACCTTTTTGTTGTTTCGGGTTATGTGCAGAAAGATTTATCATGTAAACATCAATGCAATGAAATACATAGAGTAGGTCTCATTTGACCAGACCATATCGTCTTATTTTTTCACTGACGTCAAGTGATTAAAAGTGTTGCAGCAAATTAATTCTTGCTTAAAAAATACATTTTTTCAGCAGTGGAGTTTTGGGTAAAAATGCATACAGTACATAACCTACTGTTTTGGTCATTAAGTAAAGATATCTGTCAGAGCCTTTGACAGACTTATGTGCAAATAGTACCATTAATGTATTAGATTAGATTAGCTTTATTGATCTCACAGTGGAGAAATTCACTGGTCACATATTGGCATAGTAATTAAAGAAGGTGCAAACAAGGAGGAAAAGGGTGCATTAAGAATAAACAACATATATACAGTATATCAAGATAAATAAGGATTAATCAAGATAAATAAGTATTAACAGTTATCAACAGTTTTGTGAATCTACAAATGTATTATCTTGTTGTTTCCAAAATGCCTTTTTATTTACATATATTCTTGTTACATTTTTACATTTCCTTATGTCTGCACAGTGTAACAGTGGGTAGCACTGCTGCATTGCAGCAAGAAGGTTTTAGGTTTGATTCCTGGCACTGGGTCTACCGGCATGGAGTTTGCATGTTCTCCATGTGCATGCGTGGGCTCTCTCCGGGTACTCCAGCTTCCTCCCAAAGTCCAAAAACATGACTGCATGATGGTTAATTGGCTCCTCTAAATTCACTTTAGGTGAGTGTGTGTGTGACTGGTTATTTGTCCTGTTTGTCTCTGTGTTGCCCTGTGATAGACCAGCGACCTGTCCAGGGTGCACCCAGCCTGTCGCCCGTAGACAGCTGGAGATAGGCACCAGCACCCCATTGTATCCCCACCTGGGATCAAAGTATGACAGAAAATAGATGGACATTTCCATATGCATCTTGGAGGGTTATGCGTATTGGGTTGGCTGAAGGGGGGAGGTCAAGGGGGAAATAAGAGAAACATAAAAGCACCTATAATTAAAAGAAAGAAAATATATAAATAAATAAATACATTTAATAGATAATGTGTTGGAAATGTTGAAGGTCAGTAAATATTATAAAACATTTTGTAAACAAAAAAATATATATTTTAAACAAAGACATAAGGATAAATAAAATAATTTATATTTATTTTATGTTTATTAACTGAGTGGTACATTTTAATTCCATTGGGTCATTTATTGGCATATTTTTGCATTGGTGAGTTTTTCAATTTAGCCCATATTAGTCCTACATAGATTCTTTAAAGTCCTCAGTGGTTTGTTTATTAGTAAATGATCAGCATTATTAAGCCCAAGATACAGAGCAGACCAGTATATGGCTTTGGGGAAATTTAAAGTGGAGTTTGGTTATAGAATAAAAAAGAAAAACTCTGAATATCTGATAGGCTCATTTTAAACTGTCATTTAAAAAAGGAAAGTGATGACAAGCCAGATAATGAGATCATTAATCAGAGAAGCAACCAAGAGAACCAAAGTAATTTTGGAGAAGTGGCACAGATCCAGAGCTAGGTGGATCCTTCTAAATTAATAAGGCTCAGCCTCCGCCTTTACCAATCTATTCTGTATGAATGATAAAAACCCTTTGTTAAAAACAAAACCTTAGAAAAGTCTCATTTGCAGTTGAATTCTTGTCAATTTAGGGGACACAACAAGCACATCCGCGAAGTTGCTGTCATCAGATAAGATCAAAATGAAAGTCTTTGGTCTAAATATTTGTGGGTATAAACTAATATATCACCCTAAATGTCCCTAAAGTGAAACATGGTGGTAGCAGGATCATGATTTGGGAATGCTTTTATTCATCAGTGAAAGATAATCTATGTGGAGTTAATCTGAAGAAATCTGAAATGCTGAATCTCCACTTCTTTGCGAGTTTCATTTGACAAAATCAATGTTTTTTGTGTGTTTGTTTCTATCCCAGGCTTTTCCAGAAACCGGAGCTGTTGGAAGTCAGACAACAGCTTTCAGTTATGTTCTTTTTCCTCTGGGGTGACTGTGCCTGATGAAAGCTGCAATGGCTTTTTGTAATGAAAGCCTACTGGACGACTGTGACCTCTTGGAGCCAGAGGTGGATGAATCAGCAGAAACACTCCAGCCAGAGGCTTCACCTCCTCTCATATCGGTCTCTTTCCGTGTGACACTGGCAGCCATAATGATCTTTATGATAACCATCGGTTTCCTTGGAAACGCAATTGTGTGTCTGATTGTTTACCAGAAGCCAGCCATGCGCTCAGCTATCAATCTCCTTTTGGCCACATTGGCCTTCTCTGACATAATGCTCTCGCTGCTCTGTATGCCCTTCACTGCTGTCACTGTGGCCACCGCCGACTGGAGCTTCGGGAGTGGCTTGTGCCGGGCTTCCATCATGCTGTACTGGCTGTTTGTTCTGGAGGGGGTGTCCATCCTCCTCATCATCAGTGTTGATCGCTTTCTCATCATTGTTCAGCGGCAGGATAAGCTGACCCCACACAGGGCCAAAGTACTGATAGCAGGTTCCTGGGTTTTAAGCCTTTGTGTGTCCCTGCCGTCTGTGGTTGGATGGAGAACAGGTGCAGCAGGTATAGGGGGCACCTGGGCACCGCAGTGTGTGCTGGGATACAGTGAGTCGATGGCAGACCGGGGGTATACAGTGCTCTTGGCCGTAGCTGTGTTCTTTCTACCATTTGCTGTCATGCTATACTCATACTTGTGCATCCTCAACACAGTGCGTCGCAACACCCTACGCATCCACAACCACACCAGCGACAGTTCCTGTCTGCCGGCCCTGAACCAAGTCAGCAAGATGAGGCTCACTGGGCTGCAGCGGCCGAATCACATCAAGGTGGACATGAGCTTCAAGACCAGAGCCTTCACCACCATCCTCATCCTCTTCGTGGGCTTCTCAGTGTGTTGGCTGCCACACACGGTGGTCAGCCTGTTGGCCGTTTTCAGTCGGCAGTTCTACTACAGCCCCGTCTTCTACCCAGTGAGCATCGGGGCACTTTGGCTCAGCTACTTAAAGACAGTGTTCAACCCCGTCATATACTGCTGGAGGATCCGGAAGTTCAGGGAGGCCTGTCAGGAATTCATTCCCAAAACCTGCAGGCTGTGTCCTCGAGTGCCGGGCAGGAGCCACAGGAGAGTAAGGCCAAGCAACATTTATGTGTGCAGCGAGACTCAGTCAGCTGTGTGAAACCGTTGCTGTTGCTAAATATCCTAACATCTCAACTGCTCTCCAAAACAGGACATTTTTCTAAAGCAATATACTGTTAAACATAGCCTCACTAATGAACGCTATGTCAAAAATCACACATACCATTTGAACTTTTTCATTTATTCAGTTTACAACCATAAACTTTACATAATAGCCTAACCCTAAGTAGCATACAGTAGAATCTGAAATGTTCTGTCCTTACTTTTATGCAAAGTAGCAATAGCATGGAAGAGCATCTATAAACAAGTTTTGCAACACTTATGTGCCCCATCCATCGACTCATCGACCATGACTAATTGATTTGCCCCTTCAGAAGTAGAGCCTCCTTCAATCATCTATTTACTCATTGGTTTATTTGGATACTTGGATTGATTATTCAACACACAGACAGCAATCACTAAATATTCAGGTGGCTTTTTTACACCAAAATGCAAGTAAAAATCATTGCCGCAGGCTCATCCAGGAGGAGTATGTCTTGCAAGTCAAAGACTGGATGCAATCAACTGTTTTTTCCTTGACAGAAACTTTAAAGCAATCTGACTGCATTGTCTCTGTGAAGTGCCTTGAGAAAACATGTGTTGTGACTTGGCGACATATAAACAAACTAATAAATGAAATTTAATTGTACGGTAATCTTTAAGGCAAATGTTTGCAGTGGATTTAATTTGGGGATAGACCAAAATGCATCTTAAAGTAAATACAAACCTTAATTGTATTTCTCTGATATCCTTTATAATCATGTACTTTCTCCCATTTCTCAACTGTGTTCTTCTTTGTGTTGGCCCGTTACATTAAAGTCTCAATAGATATATCAAAGTTTGTGGTTGTAATTATGTATGACTAATCGTATAATGCACTGTATGAGCCAGTGTATCCTTTGTGTGCACAAATGTAAAGCAGAAGGAAAAGAATACCTCCTGAAAAGATGTGTAAAATATTGTCTGTTTCTTACCATAAGTAAGTATATATGTATATATGTATACAGTATATATATATATATATGTATATTTGCTTATATTCTGACTGTTGCAGATGTCCCACCTGTCAAACCTAGGCCATTGGTTTGACTTGTTTCAGAACTGTTCTGCTGTTGCACACTAACCTGTTAATCTGAAACAACTCCCAGCGAGGAGAGTACCTCTGATGTCAGATATGTGAAAGTGGACAGATTTACATTAAAAGCAGACAATATTCATGGTCAATACGTTGTTAAGAATCTAATGAAATACAAGAAGTGCAACATTTTGTAAGATTAAATTTGTTTTGTTGGTTTTAAGGGTTTATTGGATCATCATTTCTTAAAAGATTAAGCAGAATTAATAAAGATTTTTATATGAATTAACACATGGCAGTAATGTCTTTTTTATAATAGGAAAAAATGCAGGTTAGACTTTTGTCTATTTGTCCATCCAATAGCTTATGAACAGCCAGCTTACTATTTAAAAGCAATGACTTAATAAGAGGGTTTATTTCTCTACATTATTTTCACACATGAAGCATTTAATACTAATGTATAAGTGAGTCTGATATCTGATCAGAATTAACGAGTAGATAAGAAGATATTGAATCTTTAAAAGTCATCTCAGCAGGTCAGTTACAGTTATTTGACAGCAACTGTATGTATAGCTGAATTTGAACACAAAAGTAAATGTGTAAATAAGTAACAGAAAAAGAAAGAAAGAAAGAAAGAAAGAAAGAAAGAAAGAAAGAAAGAAAGAAAGAAAGAAAGAAAGAAAAAAAGAAAGAATTTTACCACTTGGTGGCACTGTTGCAGCTTCATATACTAAAAAGATATACTTAAAAGAAAAAGAACTTATGAATACATAACATTAATGTGAATGTATCCAAAAATCCATAGATCTAAATCACAACTCACAGTGCCACATTAATAGATCATATATTTACAAACCTTAAAGATAACAACACATTAAGTGGACTGTTGATTAATGACATCTAGGGCTGAACAATTCATCGGATTAATCTTGATTAATCGATTGTTGAAATAATGGTCAACTTATTTATTAATGGATCATCGTTAACTGGAGCAGAGATTCTAAAACATGCATATTGCTGACAGAGCAATCCACTTAGAGCAGTAAATATATCAAAACTGAATGAATATAGAAACATTTTGCCTTTAATATATAAAAAAAAAACTTTTTGGTCGGTCAATATACTCTACATAGAACTCCTCCAGTGGAAACATTTTAGTTTCGCCTGGTTATATAGTAAAGAAATGTTCTTTAAATACCGTTTTGACATCTGATTATTAATTGAAAAAATGATCGACAGATTAATCTATTTGCAAAATAATTGTTAGTTTCAGCCCTAATGATAACAGTGATCATTTACCAACAACCGTGACTTATCACCACAGAAACAGGCAAGCTGCTAATGATGACACACGTAATTACAAAAGATGAGAACAGAGGAGTCAGAGATTAAATTTAGAAATGATTTGCTTAGTCAAAACTGGGACTAGATCAGGGGTCTTTAACATTTTTTGGTGAAGGACTCCCAAACTGATGGCGACATGGAGCGGGGACCCCCTAATTATATATATTGCATGAAATTGTGTTATATCAAACTGGCCCTATAGTCACTCTATTACAGATCGAGTACTGTAAAGAAAGTAATTTCTCACTGGGATTATTAAAATATTTCTGATTCTGATTCCTGGTTGATGGGACAGGTGTTGTGAATGAAACGGTGCCCTGATTAAAAGAGCTCCTGTGTGTCACTAAATGTGTGCATTGATGACTGAAAGATATCTTCTGCCTCCATTTATCTGTTTACTACAGTCTGTTGAATTCATGGTAATGTTGATTTAAAGACATTTCATTAGTGAGAAAAAAAATGGAGGGGGAATACAGAAGAAAGTCTAATCAACCAAAACTTTCGCGACCCCCATACAGTACCTCCGAGGACCCCCTAGGGCCCCCTGTTGAAAACCTCTTGACTAGATACTCTAGGCTTACTCTATAATCAGATAAAAATCATTATGTATGCATGTCAAAAAATAAACACCTAATTGCTATTGAGAACCCCCTAGCGGCCCTTGAATCCAAAGCAATTGTTTAGTTTGTTTCTGCCTTGTGCCGGGCCTAAATCTGCACATTCCAATAAAAAAATATAAAATTGTCTTTTTTCCCTGTCTTTATGTTTCATAATCAGACCACATTTGGTGTTCCAACCTTAAATCTTGAATTAGTGTGATGGGTGTTTATTTACAGCTGAACAGCTGTTTAACTGTTAAAATTCATTGTAGAAGTCTGACTGGGTGTTTCCACCAATGGAGTGGTGCTGCTAAGCATGTTTGTGTTCAAAGTGGCAGGAATAAAAGTATTTTGTTTTGTTAGAGTTAACATAAAATCACTTGTTAATACAACAAAACCTGACTATGTTCAGCTTAAAAAAAATAATTTCTTATCACACTAGACTATATTGCAATGTCTTCATTTTATTTGGGAAGCAACAGTGGACGATATTAATGGAATGTTGCAATTAATCCTTTATCTATAGTTCTTCTAACATCTCTTCTTTTAATTTAGACACAACTGAACCTGCTTATGTTCAGCATTAAAACATAATTTTTAGTAGTAATCTGACCATAAAAAAATGACATATGCAAGCAGCATCAGTTTTTCAGTTATGGGTGCATGATATGCATATAGAATACAGTATAGAGTGCATAATAAGCAGACGCAACTTAAAAACACTTATAGAAAAGGGGAATTTTAAGTATCCTTAGGACACCCTAAAAATGAAGAAACACTTTTTGACAGAGAAACACAAATTGTTAAATATTAAACAGAGTTTTTAACTCTGGGAAATAGAATAAGAACACTTGTAAAAGATATTTGTATCCTTGGTTACAAATATCATACAATACATTTTTCTCTGTGTGAGAAGGTTGAAATGTATTTCAGATATCCTAAATACATATTCAGTCAAGCTGATAAAAGTCAAAACAGCCACTTCAAATGTTTAGACATTTTTAGATATATAAAACTTTTTTTTTTTTTTTTTTTACTTTCTGAAATGTATTGTTTGCTGCGGGAATGTAATTTAGATAATCTGTCACTACAGTTCTGTCTAGGAGTGTGCTTTTGACCACAAGGAATCCTGTTTTAGTGATCTACAAATGGAATAGCTTTTCAAACATGTATGCACGTGTTCAACTCTGAGTGGACCTACTTGAGTTGATTAAACTTTCTTACAGCAGCTTTTATGAAACTGAAATCTCAGTTTCCGACCTGAGGCTATACCAATTCAGAGTTGAGGATTTTTTTTTATTTGTTAAAACTGCTTATTGAAACAGACCCCCATGACTACATATCTAAATGCCTTGAGTTGATGCATTGTGATTGGCTAATTAGAAATTGGCATTATCTATGTGTAATCAATTGTAATGTATACCTATAAATAAACTTTCATTCCCTGTGTCTGATTTAAACTCTAATGGCAATAATAATATCACCAGCAATGTCCTCATATCAAAACCCACAGTTTGAGGCATAATTCTGGTGCCATTTAAAAATTTCCATGTTGTATTGAAAGAGCCAGATTATTTGAATTTCCCACGAAGCTCGACATGGCGTTTGACGTAACAAGGCCTCGCTTGTAGCAGTCTGGTGACTAAGGTGAGCTTGAAACACTTCTCAGCGACACTTCTTCTTCGAAAAGGTGCCTAGCAAACTGAATCAGGCTTTACAGCTCTCTCCAGAGGCCAAATGGCAAAGTGAAAATTTGACTGAAAAGACGAGAATTGCATTAAAAACATTCTGAAAGAAACTGTTCCTGAGTGTATTTGTTTTGGATGTAATGGCTTTGAGCTAGAGCTGGGAAACCCTGATTTTTTTCCTACCCAGTCTGATAAATCTCTTTTTTTCTCTCACATAGGTTTCATGATAAAAATAACAAATGACATATATTAGTTTCAGAAACTATCTATCTTAACTCTGAACCCTTTTTGTTATTTAAAGTAGAACAAATAATGCATTGTGTAGGTGGGTCACATCTGCTGCAGTGTAAAACAACTACATATCTGAGCATAATCCCTTGTGCAGTTTTCACCACCTCTGCTAAATCCTTCCTCCCCTGTGCCATGGATCTTACATCTATCACATAACTAATGCTTTGATAAATAATTAACATTAATATTACATTTTTTCTTCATATTAAGTTTTTTTTTTTTTTTATTCAGCCAAGTAGAATACCTGTTATGCGTGGTAAGATTTGAATGGAAAGCATCAGGAATCCTTTTTTTTTTTATCAAGTCTTGCCAAATTGAATTTAGGCCTAGACTTTGTGATACTTACCAAGAAGAACTTGTTGCATCAATTTCTAGCAAGATAAAAAAAATGTATTAACTGTAACGTACTGGGTAATAATACACAAGAAGTGTTGATGGCTACTTTTTCTGTGTTATCCGAAGTCCAGACTTATGTCTAAGAATGACATCACTACTAAACTAACTAAATGTAGATATAATCTGGTTCCAGGGTGGGAGACAAGTTGGATTTGCTTATTGATATGCTCAATGACCAGATAACTGCAATGCAAGTTACTGACAAATAATTCCTCTGCATCGTAACTTTTTCATTACTGTACAAACAAGTGCAATAAAGAAATAAAATAAAAAATGGTGTTAATTATATGTAAAAACTGAGATGATTTGATCTGAAGTAGTAATTGTTCTTGCTTTATGTTAAGAGGCCTACTAGAAGGGGAACCTCTGCCTCAGTCTACAGTATTTAGAAGCCTCTAGCTGGTTTTCTTCTTCCATTCTTCTATTTAGTCAGGCGATCTCTCCACCAACTGACTGTCCTTACTTAAGAAAGGCAACCCCACAGCATGATTCTGCCATCCATATGTTTCACATGGGATTATAGATCAAGACGATGGGCATTGTGCATCTTTCTCCACAAAATGTATTCGGCATCT